CCTTAGACCATCTCTTGTCAATTTCACCTCTGCAGCACCTCTTGTCAATTTCACCTCTCTAGCATCTTCCTTCTCACCTCTACCTCCTGGCTTCCCCAGCTTCCTTCTAGTCTCAACTAAAACTCCACTTTCTACAAGAAGTCTTTCTCAGTCTTTCTTAATCTTAGTGCCTTCTCCTGTGTGAATTTTCTCTAATTTACCCTGTTTACATCTTCTTGGTACATAGTTGTTTCCATTTTGACTCCCTTGTTAGACTGTGAGGTCCCCAAGGGCAGGGTATGTCTTTTGCCTTTGTTTGTATCCTCAATACATAGCACAAGGCCTGGCACATAGCAGGTGATTAATAAATGTTTACTGACCAAATGACTTCACCTTTCTGGGCCTCAGTTTTCTTATCTAGAAAATGAGGTTGTACTAACTGGCATCCAAGTTATATCCCAGCTCCTGGTCTATGACCTCGCTGGGCCTCAGTTTTCTCCTCTGTAAAATAAAGAGGTCTATGGCTTCAGAGGTCTCTACCAGTTCTCAACTTCCCTTCCCTGGGACTTAGTTTCCTGATCTGTAAAATGAGGGTATTTACAGCCAGGTGGTGCAGTGGATAGAGCATGGGCCCTGGAGTCAGGAGGACCTGAGTTCAAATCTGACCTCAGACACTTGACAGTTGTGTGACCCAGGGCAAATCACTTAACCCCATTGCCTAGCAAAAAAACCAAAAAGCCAAAGGGAAAAAAAAGAGGGGATTAGACTAGATGACTCTGAATCTATGATCCTAGAGTTACTTTACAGTCTCAATGGCTTATCAGGTTAAATTCAATAAATAAATAATACAGTAAATCTCATATGGTCCAAGGACATTTTTCTTGGATATCTAGCTCCATTGGGGTCAGCTGGTGGCACAGTGGATAGAGTGCCAGATCTGGAGTCATCTTCCTGAGTTCGGTCACTGTGTGACCCTAGGCAAGTCACTTAACCCTATTTGCCTCAGTTTCCTCATCTGAAAATGAGCTGGAGAAGGAAATGGTAAACCACTCCAGTGTCTTTGCCAAGAAAACCCCCCAAAATGGGGTCACAGAGATAGACATGACTGAAAAGTGCCTGAAAGCTAGCTCCATTCCAAGTTCAAGTTAATTTTCCAACACTGGCCCTGTAGTTCCATCCCCGAGACATGGTAGTGCCCATTTTACTCTGCACAAGTATAACTCTCACCTAGCTCTTGTAAACTTTAGACTAGGCCACCTCCTTTCTTTGCTTGACCAGGGTGTGAGCAGCTTTGGCTTAATGCCCCTGCCTCAAAGTTCTCTGTGTCAAGCAGTTCTCTGACTTGAGACAAATATCCATGACCTCTGACCCCAATTTTTCATGGTTTTCTCTGAATAAACATTTCCCAGACTCATCCATGCATATTTTAATTCTGCATGCTTAATATACGCATGGCTCTGCTTCCAAAGGAAGATCTAGGAGAGCATAAATTCATAGGTTCTGAACTCCAGAATTCCTGGGACCTCAGAAGACCACTAATCAGACCCATTTGTTTTACAGATGAAGAAACTGAGACACAGGGAGGGTCACAGGATCCGAGATTTAGAGTGGCCTCAGAATCCAACTAGTGTAACCTCCCATTATGCTGAGCAGGACACACACACACACACACACACACACACACACACACACACACACAGGCACCCACCCACCCCCTCAGTTTATCAGCTCACAACTTTTCCCAATGACAGGGAAGATGGGGGTTGGGGGAGTGGGATAAGGCACTGTGGGAGGGAGGGTGGGGAAGCACGTACTGCCGCAGAGGTCGCCGAAGATATAATAGCACTGCTCTGAGAAAGTGATTTTGTTGACCGTATGACGGATGAAGCCGGCTTTCAGCAGGTTGCTGGCATACTTCCGGGCCTCGCGCCGGTCCGTGAAGCCCTCCACGTTGTGGTACAACCAGTCCACTACATCTGAACCTGGAGGCAACCCAACCTCTTGAGAGGCTAGCACGGAGGAAGTCTCCGCTCCCAGGCCCAGCCCCAGCCCACCTCGCCCCAGGATCTCAGGGGGACAGTGAAGCCTGAGGCTGGCTCCACCTCAGTGGGAGTCATCAGCATCCCGGGCGCCAACAACATGTCGCTGGGACCCCTGCTTACCGATGAAGGCGTTGGGGATGGTGATCTTGAGCCACATACGATCTCGGACCTCCAGCCCGGACTCAGGGGAAGCCATAGCTTTAACTATGGTGGCCATGTCGCTGTGGATGGACAGGTGAAAGTCATCGAGGCCTGGGGGGGCAGAGACAAAGCAGTGGGAGGCAGACAGAACCATGGCTCTGGAGTCGAGGACCTGGGTTCAAATCCTGCCCGAGAGGCTTTCCATCTGTGGGAACTCGGGGGATCTCCCTTTCTCTCCCTTTTTGTCATCTATGAAACAAGGTGGTTGGAATGCTAAGGGAGCTCCTAAGGTCCTGTTACAGCTCTGAAAGTCTTTGTTCTAAGTGGAATGGAACGGAAGGGAGTGATAGCTGCAGACCCTCTACCTCCCACATTTCAGCAAATTCATCAAGTAATTACTCAGTGTCTACTAAATGCCAGGCACTGTGCTAGGGTCCAGGGATATGTAAACCATGGAAACAATCTCGGTTCTGCTAGATTCCCTGTGTGACCTTGGGTAAGTTATTTCAGTTCCCTGGGCCTCAGTTTCTTCATCTGTAAAAATGGGTGTAGGACTAGATGTCCCTTCCAGCTCTAAATCTATACGCGTCTGACCCTGCCCTTAATTCTTTTTTTTTTTTTTTTGGCTAGGCAATAGGGTAAGTGACTTGCCCAGGGTCTTGCCCAGGTTACACAGCTAGTAAGTGTTATGTGTCTGAGGCTGGATTTGAACTCAGGTCCTCCTGAATCCAGGGCCGGTGCTCTATCCACTGCGCCACCTAGCTGCCCCTGACCCTGCCCTTAAGAAGGGCAAACAATGAGGTTAGGGATGCCAGATGTCGAGGACTCTGAGACAGCTGGAGAGAGCCCAGGCTGGTTGCCCCCTGACCCCTTCTGTCCTCAGAAGCCCAGGAGGCTCAGTACTGCTCCCTCATCTTCCTCTGCTACCCTGCCTTCCCTCCTTTCCTCACCTGAGGAGGCTGCTTCTGTAAGTGAAGGCCCTCATGTTCCCTGTTCTGAGGAGGAAAGGAATGGAAGGGCAGGCAAGTACTCACGCTCAGTGTCAGGGATGGAGCTGGCGATGGAGGAACTGGTAGACGTGATGGTGCTGAGGGAGGGGCTCATGCCATAGGCTGGGAAGGTGCCTGTCATCGCTGCTGTGTGGGACACCCAGGCTGCAGGGTCAATGGGGCGGATTGGCTCACCTGGTGGGGTGAGAGACAGGTGGTAACTGCTGGTCACAAGTCACCAACTCCTGCCTCTTCTCCCCAGCTGCCCCCCAGCCCAAAGCCTGGGACAATGGTCAAGGGAAAGAGGATGGGAGAGAATGAAGGTGACTGATGGTATGCCCCTGGCATAGTCATTTCCCTTCTCTGGGCCTCAGTATCCTCATCTGTAAAGTGGGAGCAATTGGACTCCATCCTCCAGTGCCTTCCCACCAAAGGTTTTAGGGATCTGAAGGGTTGCTTCTGCTCCTGCCTCTCCTTTTCTGCCTGTAAAGCTTTCTTCTTGGCTTGGCCTGAGAATAAGCTGTTCCCTGGGGGTGTGGGAGTGACATCCCCAGGGGCGGCAGATGCAGGAGGTAGGAGAGACAGGGGCTCACATGTGCCAGGCACCAGCTTTAAGGACGACTCCCCCATCCACTTACTCCTGGGCAGGGTGAAGCAGCCTCGGGGGCTGGGGTCCCAGCACTTGGCCACTGTCAGGGTGATAGGCCTGCAACCAAGAAGCAAAGGGTCAGGGTTAAGTGTAAGATCCTCTTCCTCTTTCTCTTCCTCTTCCTCTCTCTCTCTCTCTAACATGCACACTCTCCCTTTTCCTTTTTTTTTTTTTTTTTTTTTTTTTTTTGGTGAGGCAGTCGGGGTTAAGTCACACAGCTAGTAAGCTAGTAAGTGTCAAATGTCTGAGGTCAGATTTGAACTCAAGTTCTCCCGACTTCAAGGCTTGAGCTCTATCCACTGTGCCACCTAGCTGCCCCACACTCTCCCTTTTCCCAGGGACAAGCTGGGGACAGGTTATAGACCCTTTCCTAATACCCACAGAGTGTCCTCTTTGGTGCAGTGGGAGTGCAAGGTTTAAAGTCATGGAACCTGGATTCGAATCTTTTCTCTGGCACTTACTAGCTGTGTGACCTTAGGCAAGTCACTTGACCTCTGTCTGCCTTACTTTTCTCCTTCCATAAAATGAATGGGTTAGACTAGCTGGTCTTTGAGGTCCCTTTCAGCTTCCAGGTCTGTAATTCTACAATGACCTGTGTCATTGACCTGCCAATCGAGTGGATGTCTTCTCTCCCTTGGTCCCAGTTATCCCCTCTCTCCCTTCCCTCCCACTTCATACCCTGGTTTGTGCACAATTTCTCGAAGTACTCGGACAGCGTCATCGTTACTCATGTTCTCAAAATTGATGTCGTTTACCTGGGGGATGAAAGCACGGGATAGGAAGAGAGCTGAGCCCACAGTCACGTCTCCTCTTCCTTCTCCCCAGCTCTCACCCCAGGTTCATCTCAAATAACCGGGCAGGGGCGCTCCTATTCAGAAAGGAGGATTTGCAACCAGGAAACCCCAGGCTTCAAGGAGTAGGGATGCAGAGACCCGAGCGGTTAGGGAATGTGCGGGCACCTGTAGGAGCATGTCCCCTGGCTCAATCCGTCCATCAGCAGCCACAGCTCCACCCTTCATGATGGAGCCAATGTAGATGCCCCCATCACCCCGTTCGTTGCTCTGACCCACAATGGAGATGCCCAGGAAGTTGTACTTCTCTGTCAGGGGTAGAGTGGAGGGAGAGACAGGATAGACAGAGTCACAATTCTGGCCTCCCACAAAATGCAGAGATCTCAACAACACTGATGACAAAGGTCACCCAGCCTTTGGAGGAAGGCAGCTAGCTAGGTAGCACAATAGGCCTGGATTTAGGAAGACCTGAGGCCATTTCAAATCTGGCCTCAACCGCTTACTAGCTGTATGAGCTTGGGCAAATTACTTAACCTCTGTCTGCCTCAGTTTCCTCTTCTGTAAAATGTGGATATCAATAGCACCTAGTTTCCAGGATTATTGTGACATCTGAATGAGAAGATATATAAGGCGCTTTGTAAACCTCAAGGGCTATAAGATGTTGGCTATCATTAGCTCTGCTTAACACCTACCAGCAGAGAGGCAGTGATTGGGGGATAGCTCTAAGTTTAGAAAGCTTTTCATAGGCTCTTGGGATCCTAAAACTAAGGCTGGCAGGGACCTCCGAGCCATCTAGTTCAATCCCTTCCTTCGACAGGTGAGGAAACTGAGGTACAGAGAGGGAGGGTACGCCATCTGAGTCAGCATTTGAACCCAGGTCCTTGGATTCCTGAGGTGGGGCATAACACTGAGCCATGACACACCGCACACATCCACCCTGGCCAGACCCTGTCTGGGGTGGTCCATTTCCAGAAGGACACTGACCAGCTAGAGAGTATGCCAGGTAGGGTGCCCAGCAAGATGAGGGGCTAGAGACCTGACTACATAAGGATGACTTGAAGAAGCTGGGAAATTTAGCCTAGAGACCAGAAGACTGGGCAGTTATCATAGAGGGTTTCCTGTTCAGGTACAGGTTGGACTGGCTGCCTTGGAGGCCCCTTAGAACATGTTCCCAAGAAGCCAGGTAACCTTGAGTCATTGGCATAGGAGGGTGGCAGAAGGCCCTGAGGACAAGAAGCCTCCAGGTAGAGGTGGGCCAGGGCAGGCCGCGATCATGGCTGGGATGTGGGGGTGGGGGGCAGGCGCCAGAGCAAGGGACAACTTCCTAATACTGTGAGCCGTCTAAAGGCAGGAGGGCTGGCCCGTCCCCAGAGGCCCCGTTGGGCTGCTGGGGTTGGACTGGCTGGCTCCCGAGGGAGAGTAAGGGGTGGGGTGGGGGCAGGATTCAGATCCTGGATAAGAGGACAGACATGGCAGGTGAGGGAAGAGAGCCGAAGGCTTGTGGGGATAAAGATGGAAGGGGAGGTGGGTGAGTCTCTGTCCTACTCACCCATGTTGAGCGTGACGGTGATAATGTTGAGGGACATGGTGGAATCGGTGATGCTGCTGAAGGATGAGGACTGCAAAAGAAGAAGCCCCTGAGAGAGGGGAGCAGCCAGGTCCCCGACTCCCCTCCCCCCAGGGCCAGGGAGGGCCTCGTCCTCAGCCCAGCCCAGGGCCAGGCACGTACCCGCTCGATCCGGGCCACTTTCTGTTTCCGCCGACGCCGCTTGTGTCTCCTCATGAGGCGGGACGCACTGCTCTGCTCTGTGGAGCTGCTGAACCTGGAGGGCGCACAGTCCGTCCCCACGGTGTCCCTGCCATCAAGGCTCTGAACCCTCCTTCTATCCCCTGGGGCTCCCAGAGCTCCCTCTGCCCCCTGGAGCTGCTGAACCTGGAGGGCCCACAGTCCATCCCCACGGTGTCCCCACCACAAGGACTCCAAACCCTGCCATTATCCCCCTCTGCTCCTATCCCCACCTGAATCCCTCTTTCCCAGGCTCACCTGCTGGTAGAATCATCCTCATCAGAGTCGAAGAAACTCGTGGTTTCCAGCTCACTGCTCATGAGGGTAGAGGAGCTGTCATAACCCCCAGGCTCCCTCCTCCGCTCACCTTTGGCTGTGCCGTTCATCCGGGCCACTGTGGGGAAGGGGGCAGGGAAGGGGAGGGGTGTGGGGGGGGTGCCACAGCAAAATCAGTGGGGGAGACCCGGATTCCAGGTCAAGCTGGAGCAGGAAGGGGGAGGCCTAGTGGTGTCGTCTGGGAAACATGGAATTCCAGGGCCTGAGTCTGCATCCTGGTTGTGCCACTGACTGCCCGTGTGACCTAATGCAAATCACTTGACCTCTCAGAGACAACCAGACTAATCTCCGAATCGAGCACCCTGTGGGCTAGGCAGAGGGGCTGGGGGTCCGGGTTCGAGGGGTACGCACCATGTTCTGGCCCATCCCTCCGTCGGGGCCGCTCCTGCTGCGCAGACACCAGGGAATCAGTCTCAGTGTCATTGTCCAGGTTCTCCTGGCTCCCCCCACCAGTGTGAGGGCTGCAGGGGGAGAGGGACCCACATTGGGGGATGGGAGCAGAGACACACTCCCATTTTCAGGCCCGGCCAGAGGAAGGTCAGTCTCCTCTCCTGCTAGCTGGAGGCTCCATGCCTCTATTTCCCATCATCTCTTTTCCCACTGGGTGTCCTTCCTCCCTCCTCCCCACCTTCTCCGTACTCACTGGAAGGAGGGAGGCCGGGAGTCCCCAATGCCACCCGTGCGTTCCATGGGGGGCGGCAGCTCAGAAGGATTGTCAGGGCAGAAGGAGCCAGGCTCAGGGTGTGAGCCCTCTGCTGACACCAGCTAAGCACAGAGCAAGACCATGGAAATGAGAGAGAAGTTGGGTTATTTTTTAGGGGGGAGGGGCTGTGGACAGAGGATAAGAGGGGGCCAGTTGGCAGGCTGGAGGTCTGGGGAATAAGATGGCACGGCAGTGCATTTGAGGAAGAGCTGGGTTTGACTCAGGGCTTTGCTTTTCACTGGCTATGTGACCTTGGGTGAGGCACTCTGGGCCTCAGTTTCCTCATTTGTAAAATGAGCGGGTGGGGTTAGACCAGATGGTCTATAAGGCCCTACTCAGTTTTAAATTTGATGAAATAGGTTGGGAAGGTGAATGAGACAGGGCAGATTAAACCTAGGGAGCTGAAGCAAAGGTCACCAGAGGCTCAGAGACCCAGGCCCAGGCCCAGGCAAGGAGATTGCTTGTCCCCATAGCAGGACCTTGACCCTCTCCCCTTCTCCCACCCGTGCCTACAGAACCCCCCAAGGTGAACAAGCAATCCAATTCGAAGAGGGAACGTAGGGAAGATCCTGGCCCGGAGGACCAGCTGCAATCCCCCACACCCCATGACGTCCACCTTCCTCCCAACACCAGGGGAGATCATGTGAGAAGGGAGAGGTCCATCTTACCCCAGATGGAAGAGAGAAGAGGAGAAACAGATATGACAGTCACGGGGAAGGGAAGGCCAGGGCCTCTGCTCCTTACCCAGGACACCACCCGGCCATTGAAACAGGGGAGCCGTGCGTTGTCATCAGAGATCTCTTCTTTCACCACCCTGCAGGCAAGTGGGGAGGCCAGTTAGCCAAGGGTAGCCACTTCCTGGAATAAAGCTTCCGTCGGCCCCTTTGCCGCTTCTCCCCGCTGCTCGAGGGCTAAGCCCTCTGCTCTTTCAAAGAGCAGAAAGCAGCTAGCTCTCCTCCTCTTCTCCTCTACCCCTCCTCAGCTTTTCTCCAATTTAATTATTCCCAGTTCTTTCAACGAACTTTTTTCTGACACAGGCAGCTGGTATCCCAGGATGGCTCGTTAGCCCCACCTCCACACTCCAGCTAGGCCCTTCTGCCTCCCACCTCCCGCCCCGGCCCATGCCAGCCCTCTGTTATCTCTTTGCCAGCCCTATCACATCTGCCCCTTCCTTGATTCTGCTTTCGTCCCTCCTTCCTAGCCCCAAGCCCGGAGCCAAACAAAAAGGAAACAGAGATCGCTTCCACATGGATATGGGTCTAGGCAAGAGGCCCGTGGCTCCTGGACAGGGAAACTCCAGCCACCAATGCAGGGCAGCACCTTCCTGGAAAGTCAGGCTGGGCAGAGCAGCATCTGTCAAACTTGATCTCAGGACCTCTTTTACACTCTCATAAATTAATAAGGACCCCTCCCCCACAAAGAACTTTGGTTTATGGGGGTCATAGTTATCAGTATTAAATGAAAACATCGTAGAATCATTATTTGGGACCTAGGTGATGCTGTGGATAGAGTACTGGGCCTGGAGTCAGGAAGACCTGAGTTCAAATGTGGCCTCAGACCCTTACTACCTGCATGATACTGGGAAAGTCATTTAATGCTGTTTGCCTCAGTTTTCTCATCTGTAAAAATGAACTGTAAAAATGAATAAAAAAACCACTCTAGTGTCTTTGCCAAGAAAACCCCATGGACAGTATGATTCATGGGGTCACAAAGAGTCAGACACGGCTGAACAACAAAAAGAATTATTATGACTATAGTTTTGACCTCACAGACTCCCTAAAGGAGTCTCAGGGACCCCCAGGGTTCTCCGGACCACTCTTTGAAAAACCTTAGCTAGACACCAGAGAAACAATAAAGTTAAATGATTTGCTCAGGGTCACATAGATTCTGTGTGTGTGTGTGTGTGTGTGTGTGTATACACATATATATATATATATACACATGCATACATATATTTCAATATTTATATCTCTCAAAGGCAGGCTGTAAACCAGGTCTTTGCCTGTGATTATTTCTAGTGTGGAAACAGAGAAAAAGTGGTCATTGGCCCTTTCCCCTTCTCCAACTACCACAAAAGTACTTAGTATATACTTCGTATCTGTTTATTGGCAAATGTTTCCTATTTTCCCCAGGAGAATACAGGTTATTTGTCAGCAGAGACTGTCTTGTCCTTGTATCCTCAGCTCCCAGTACAATGCATGGCACACAGGAGGTGCTTAATAAATGTTTGTTACATGATTGAATGAATTAGCTGGAAATTCTGGCTTTGGGTTCCAGCCGGGCAGGATGTGGGAGAACACAGAGGACTGAAGCTGGGATGATGGGAGCTAGGGTCTGGAGGGTGGGGCGATGGAAGGCTGAGGACTCCGCACCCTCCTTTGGGAAGATGGGAGCTGAGGGCTTGAGAGTAGGTAGAGTGGAGGGTGGGTGGCAGGTATCTGGAGGGTGTGAGGTCTGGCACATAGAGAGGGGGCGCGCAGGGAAAGGAGTGGGCCAATGTGGAGGGAGAGGAGATAATGAAGGGAAGGGCAGACGACCCAATTTCCCTAGAAGTTGGAGCCGCTCTGGGTTGGAGGAGGAAATGTACTTGGCCGCCTGCGACCCTCACATTCCTGGAGTCTCCGCCAAGACTGCAGAATGAGCTGATCCCCAACCCCCACAGAGCCCTCCCTCCCCACCAGCTGACCAAGGTGGTCCACGACATCCTTTTTCTAGGCCCTTAGGCCTAGATGCAATAGACAGGGCCATGCGAAGAGGAGGAAGGAAGCGCTGGAAGAGATAGGCTGGGTGACAGCTGGGCAAGGGCCCTTGAAGGAGAAGGGAAGGAGGCTGGGGCCTTTGGCCTCATGGGCCAAAAGGAGGCAAAGCAAAGCTAAGGGGCAGACCCAAGCACCTCAGTGCTTTCTGAGGGCTCCCGAGACTGGAAGCTAACACAGTCCCTCTCCTTTGGGAGTCTGTGTCTAGCTCCCAGCTCCAATCTTCCTGGGGCTCACTGGCATAGTGGAGACATAGTCAGGAAGACTTGTGTTCAAATCCTGCCTCAGTCACTTACTAGCTATGAGACCCTGAGCAGGCCACTCTCTGAGCTTGTTTCCCCATTTGTACATGGGGAAACCTCACCAACACCAACCTCACAGGGCTATGGGGGGGATCAAATGAAATCATGAATGCCAAGCGCTTGTCAAACCTTAAATCACTTTATAAATGTCGGCTGATAGCATCATCACTGACTCCATGGAAGCTGAGGGGCCAAGAAGTCTCTCGGGGTAGTTGGTCACCTTTCTGAAGAGAAGGGCTTTGAATTTCCTCATCTCTCTGGGCCTCAGTTTCCTCCTCAGGGCACTGGTAACCTGGCCCCTTCCTATTTTCCAGTCTCCCCTCCACATGCTTTGAGATCCAGTGAATCTGGTTTCTTGGCTACTCCTGGAACAAGATACTTCATCTCCAGCCTCCATGCATTTCCCCTGGCTGTGCCCCATGCCTGGAATGCTCTCCTTTCTCATCTCCTATTCCTGGCTTCCTTCCAGTGCTCGATAAAATCCCACCTTATACAGGAAGCTCTTCCTGATCCCCCTTAACCTAAGTGCTTTCCCTAGGTTGATTATCTCCAATTTTTCCTGTCTATGATAGCTTGTTTATACAGTCATTTGCATATTGTCCCTTCCATCAGAAGTGAGCTCCTTGAGGGCAGGGACTGTCTTTTACCTCTTTTTTGTAACCCCAGTGCTTAGCACAGTACGTGGCACATCGTAAGTGCCTCTTAATAAATGCTTGTTGACTGACTATAAAATGAGGGGTTCCATCCCAGGAGCCTCTGAGGTTCCTTCCAGCTATAACACTCTAGGACTGCTGTGGCATCCGTCCCCACAGAACTGGAGTGGCCCCAGGTTTTCAAATAGACGCTTCTTGTTTCCCCAGTGAGATTATGGGTTTTTCAAAGGCAGGGAATGAGGGAGTCTCCTTCCTTCCTATGAGTGCCCCATAATACCTAGCACAGGACCATTCCATCCACTCAACAAATATTTACTGAACACCCACTGTGGGCCGACGCTGAATAAATGTGCCCTGTTCTGAGCATTTCAAAACCCCACCAACTCCTCCCAGAGCATGGTCTGAGATTTCCACCTCTCCCCACACTGCCTACGTCAGCCTCCCGGCCACAGAACTACAGAGCTCATCTGGCTCTGGAGGGTCTTCAGGGACCAGTCCTCCCATGGTGCAGGTGAGGAAACTGAGGCTCGAGGACCAAAGAGGACTTGCCCAGGGTTAATGGTGGTAAGAGCTGGAAAAGCTGTGGGGGACACGAGCTTTCAAGTTCAGCTTTCTTAGATGCTTTTCTGTGTCTCATCTCTCAGATCCTTCTTGACATTCAGCCGTCTGCCATCATGTCCACCAGCCGTTCTCTTCCCCAAATCCAGTTGCTTTGGCCTGCCCTCAGGAGGCCATCCCCCCCACACCAAATATATCAACCAGTGTGGGCACGATGGGTATGAGGAGACTCTGTGACAGGGGAGACATCACGGTCACCGTCTCTCAGTATAGCAGAGCTGACAGACAGCTGGGCTTGCAGTCATATTGGCTGGGAGCCCCTGGGTAAGTCACAGCCTCCCAGTGCCCCGAGAAACTCTTTAAGACTCCCAGATGCACACGCCTTCATGGGTGGAGTGAATTTACTCCAAATCTACACTGGTCCAGTCAAAAACCACATTTACACGGTGCTTTAAGGTTTTCCAAACACTTTTCATACTTTCGTTAACTGGCTTGCTACAGCCTGTGAGGAGGTTGAGAAGGATTACTGATTCTGTTTGAGGCAGTGTGGTGCAGTGGGCAGAGTGCTAGACTTGGGATCAGATTCTGCCTCTGACACACTCCGTAGCTGTGTGACCTCTCTAGACCCGCTTCCTCATCCATGAAATAGGCCAAACGCCTGTGGAACTGACCTCCCATGGTTGTTCCAAGAACCAAATGATATTAGGTAGGAAAAAGGCTTTATGAGCTACAAGGCACCAAACAAAAAGCAACCATTTAAAAATTTTTGCTGGAGCTGGTGATTTCATTGATGTTAGGAACTCCCAGGTGAGAGAACTCCCTCTACCAAAGCAGATTTCCAACTGCCCTATTATTTACAGGCTTAGAGAGTGGCCTGGGGCGCTGAGGTTAAGTGACTTGCCCAGGGTCACAAAGTCAGCATGTATAAGAATCCAAGTCTTCGAGTGTCCAGAGAACTGGAATTGCCATCCAGGATTTTCATTTTCAACCTTTCCTTCAGTTAGATTACAGTTTTCTCAGAGACAGGGATGTCTCCTTCTCTTGCACATCCCACAGAGAAGCTGCTTTTCATTATTATGAGAGATAAAAATAATTAATTGGCATGTGAGGAAACTGAGGCAAATGGAGGTGAAGGGACTTGCTCATGGTCACACAGCTAGAAAGTGTCAGGCAGAATCTGAACCTGGTCTCTCTTGACCCTCAATCTGGCACTTGTCCATAGTCACACAACTAGTAAAGAGATTTCTAGGCTGCAAGGAATCCGGTTAGATTTAGCAAGTGTTTTTTAAGTTCAGGGATGAAATGACACCATCCTGTCCTCAAGGAGTTGATAGTCTAGCAGGGGGATGAGATGTGCTCACGGAGAGAAAAGAGTGGGCTGGGAGCTTTAAGGAAGGCAAGAGATGAGAGGAGGTTGGAGGACCTGAGAATGGCCCTTCTCCTCAGATGAAAGGCTGATGATCTGCCCCCATTCCCTTTGCCCCGGAGCCAACGACAAACCTCCCCACTGCCTGTCATGCTTCCAGCCTCTGCTCCATCATCATCCCTTAATGCTCATTTCTGCCTTTGTCCTCTTCCTACGTCTGTCCGCTGCCTTAGCTCCAAAATTTCCAATAAAGCACCACCAGCCCCTAGGACCTTCCTCATCTCCAGCACGAGTGCAAGACTCCTTGGTCTCACTTCCAAGATACTCCTGGTGCCCAACAGTATTCAAGAATCCTTTGGGGGTATGGAGAGGGAGTGGGCAAGGCGGGGTCTTTCTCTTCAGGATGGGGTCTTCCAGACCACCCCGGCTCCATACTCCCAGGACCGCCCTCAAACCCTCCTCCAGCCCCATGGAGTCCCTTAGCTGGCTCCCCTAGGCCACATGTCAGTATCTCTTTCACTCCATCCACTTTGCCCTTTCCACCACTCTGGCTTCCATCCACCCCTCATTTTCCTCTTTAGCTTCTTTCCTCCAAATCTTGTCCATCAACAAAGGGGACATCTCACCCTGGAAGTCCAGTTGGCGTTTCCAAGCAGGGCTCCTTATCTTTGTCCATGAACCTCCCCCTTCCCTAAACTTCCCTCTTTTGGTTGGGGGTTCCACCATCCCTCTATGCCCCCAGGGTGGTTAGCTCATACTCAGCCTCCATTTTCCCTCTTCTTCATAGGACATAGCCAATGAATTCTACTACCAAATCCCTCACAACAATTCTTTTTTAAAAAAAATCCCACTCAAAAGGCCCTCATCATCTTGGCCTCCCTTCTCCGGTCTCTCCCCTTTTCCTAATCATCCTCTATGCCCTGGTGCTAAAATAATGCTCCCCAAAACACAGATGTGATCATGTCAGTTCCCTGATCACAAACCTTCAGAAGCCTCCTATTGCCATTAAAATGAAAGACAAACTCCTCAGCTTGGCTTTTAATACTACTCCCCTTCTTGTCTACTACATACCAACCAAAGTGGCCTACCAGCTCCATTTCCTACCTCTGGACATTTATCCAGGCGATCCCCATGCCAGAGATGTCCTCCTCCCTCCACTCTTCTTTTAAAACCCTTCTCTTCTTTCAGGAACAAGCTCTTCCAGCAAAGCCTTCCTGAATCTCTCCCTCCTCAACAACACTCCAACACATCCATGAACTGACTGATGAAGTTGGCTCCGCCACTAATGCACATCTCAACCCATTCATGCTTTCCCATAAATTCAGCCCACTGGGTCCCATCTAACCTGCTGGAGACCTTCCCCAGTTTCTCCTCATATGACTTCGGGTATTTGTGCGTCTTTACCATTTACTGTCTGCCGAGGTTCTACAGAGCAGAAGCTCCTTGAAAGCCAGGGGCTGCCTCCTTTTTCACTTTGTATTCCTCGTGTCAGGAACACAGTAGGCACCTAATAAATGTTTGGTGAATTCCCCGTCTATGTGCCCAAATTCGTCAAACCCAATTGAAGGTCCTGACCCTGCTGGCTTCTCCCAGCAACCCTCTGAGTGCTCCTCTCTGTGCCTGGGCCAAGAGAGCTGGAGGGGTAAGAAATGGAGACCTCCCAGGCCAGGGCAGGACAATAATAATGCGAGCTGCCATCCGCAGATCGCTGCAAGCACTTTACATATATTATTATCTCAAATGATTCTCTCTGTTCGAAGGGATGGGCCAGCCCGGAAGAAGAAGAAGCTGGCTTGACGGTGAATGACCCCCTCCCCACAACTCGAGGTCTTCTCTTCCACAAAGGAGGACTCAGGAGAGGAAGAAAAGAGAAAAAGAGAGCCAGAGATGGGGATGGGGGTTTCAGAAGAGGCAGCCCATCGGGCCCGGGAGGTTGGGCTGTGGCCACCCCCCACTGGGCCTCTTAGCCTAGCCCCCAGTCCCTTCTCCTGCCAGATTGAGTGGGAGCCCCTCCCCCATTCCCAGAGGAGCTGGGGGGGGAGAGGGGGAGGAGGGAAAGGGGGGCCTCTCCAGGCCAGCTGCTACAAAACCTTCCGGCTGCAGCAACATTCGCTCCAACATTCCATCCCCTCTTAAAGGGGAAGTCTCTCTTCTAAATCCCCCCCATGCTGGGCACTGGAGCTGGCTTAGAGCGAGAGTGTAGGCCCCGAAGGGGACGGGGGAGAGCCCCAGCCAGCAGGGCTTCCTTGGTAAAAAGGGATCCCTCCTCGCTGGGGACCCCCGCCCCTGCAGAGTCAGAACAACACGGAGAGAAGCAGCCCCCGGAGACCGGCGGAGCAACTGCTTTTCCGAGCCGGGACCCCGAATGAGCCGCCACTTTGGGGGGGGGTGGGGGTGGCGGCGGCACCGCCCACCGGCCAGAAGCTTCGCACCGGGCAGCCAGATGCCAGGGGTGCCCGGTGGACACCGCAGCAGCCCAGGCCTGGGCGGAGGCCCCCCGGGCGCTGTCCCGCTCCGGGGGCCCCCCGCTCGGCGCCCGCCGGGTGGGTCCCCAAGGCCCGCGCTCACCCGAAGTCGTCGTCCATAGACTTGAAGAAGAACTTGTAGGTGGGCCGCTGCAGGACGGCCTTGAAGTCGGCCAGGGTGACGCGCTCGGCGGGCAGGGGCAGCTTCACCAGGTACGGCGTCTCCTGGCCGTCCAGGTGGTAGATGATCTTGGTCTCCCCCATGGTCCCGGGCCCGCCGCCGCGCGCTCCGCGCCCCCTCCGCTGCCCGCTGCCCGCTGTCCGCTGCGCCCAGGCGCCCTGGCCTCGGACCCGGCCGGAGCGCTAGGCTCCGATGCGCTGCGCTGCGCTGCGCTGCGCTGCGCTCGGCGGCTCGCTCTCCGGACCGCGGCGGCCGCGGCTCCCTTGTTCTCCGGCCGCCCCCGGGTCCCAGCGCCGCCCGCCCGCCTCCCCGCCTCCCCGCCTCCCCCCTTTCCAGCTGCCCGCCACAGCTTCCGCTCTCCCAATTTCCCTGGCTTTGGAGGCGACGGCGACTCTTCCGGCAGCCCGCTCCTCCCCAGCAGCCCCGCCCCGGGATTCTCCGGTCACTGTCCCTCCTCTGCACCCCGGACCTGGCGCCTCACCCTGACACTGAGACCTCAGTTTCCTCCTCTGTAAAAGCGAGGGGGTTGGACCAGAAGATCTCAAAGGCCTCTGGCAGCTCTCCGATCCTTTGTGAGCTGATTTGAGGCTTTGCAGCCCCACGGGGGCTTTGGGGTGGCCCAGGGGGTAGGGAAGAACCTGGGGGTGGTGTTAGAAACTGAACCGCGCCCCCGCCAGATTACCGACTGGGTGGTGACCTGCCCACCGGATTTAGATGAGGACGATTCTAGACCCCCACTGACGCCCGAAGCTGGGAAGTAACTGGCCCCAAACCACAGCTACTGAGCTGGGATCGGACCTCCCTCCGATTCCAAAGCCAAGAGCTGAACGCACCTCGGACTAGAGATGGGGGTCTCCCGGTGGAAGGTCCGAGAAACTGGTCATGGGCCAGTAGCACTGCAGCTTAGCCCTTTACGGAGGGGTAACTGGCTAAGGGAGATCCATCTGCAGGTGAACACTTGGCCTATTGGTTTTCTAGAGTCAGTATACCTAAGCCTGGTCCTCCACTCTTAAGATACAAATCCCCATCTTACAGATGAGAAAACTGATGCTCAGAAAAAGTACCAACGGCCATCTGATGAACGGCAGGCAGTCAGGTCTCCAATGCAGTTATTTGGCACGAATCAGGCCACCAGGATCACCCTGGCAGGAACCAGGCCATAGCTAACTCGTCCATCTCCAGCACCCTGCACCAATGTTAGAATTTGCTTAACAGTTGGACAAACCACTTGTCCCAGCCGCTTGCCTTAGGTATATGGTGCCATCTTTTTGTCTCAGGGAATTGCCCTAAAGACCCTATGAAGGTAAACATGATTCCAGGCCTTTTCTTGGCCTTTTTGCAAATTTTCCTCCACTCCTTGGAGTGGACCACTCACTTGTCCAAACGCATCTTGCCCTTTCCTGGCTCAGTCCTTCTGTTCCTGCTGTCCCCTCCCCCGCACTTGGAGGCTTCCTCAGCTGGAAGCCCTCCCTTTCTGAATGCCTTTAACACTCAATCCCCTTCCTCTGCCATTTATTTGCTGCTGTATAGCCCATCATTTGTGTTCCCCTCTTCTCCCGCCCTCTTTCTCCAGCCTTCAGGAGGCTTATTTTTCCTTTGTGCTCCTCCCGGGGGCTGCCGGAAGCACAGGGGCTTAGAAAGGATGGAACAGCCAATTTATTTGTTTCCTGGTGGTGAGGCAGGAGAGGCCCCTCCTCAGAACCCCACAGCTGGCTGCTGCAGGAGGTGAGCTAACCCACCACCCTCTTGGCTGGAGGCTCCGCTCCAGGTGGCCCAGTAGGAGGCAGCACGAGGTGTCTCACACAGGACTGCCTGGCAAGAAAGCCAAGTTTCACGTCCTCTGTCTGGCTCTGCCCAAGCTTCAGGCCCCACAGCTCTGGGGTTGGAGGCTTCTCCCCAGGCCCACAGCCAGCCCCATCACACCCCCTAGCTCCACCTGGTGGTTCTGGACCCAAGGGGGCTGCCTCCACACCCCACACCTCAAGAGCCAGTTAAGGCAGAGCAGGGCAGAAACAAAACACACTTTTTTTCAAATTGTCAATACAAGCAGCAGAGGGCCCCCAGTCACTCACTGCCATCCCCCAAGAGAGGTCAGGTGAGCGAGCAAAGGTGAGCCTGTGGTCTTTAGAAAAACGTCCTCCTGAGGATGAGATTCTCTGACACAGAACCACCCCTGGACATGGGGACTGCCCCGAGCCAGATGTTTCTTCCTGGCAGGCCCACGCCCTAAACCTGCTGCCGGGGGCCCTGGGGCTTCTGACTGGGGGGACGTGCCCAGAGTCCCAGGCCACAGGGCAGCAGCTCACGTCTGGGCTTCCTCATCCACACATGCCCTTTCCCAGGGATCAACAGGGGAGGCCACATGCACGGGGCAGCCCCCGCCGAGCCTCAGTCTTGTTCATCTGACGATTCCTCTTCCGCCTCCTTGAGCCACTGGATGAAATTCTGTAACTGTGGAAAGCAAAGGGCTTCTGGAGGACGGGGTGCAACATTCTCGTTGGCCCCAGTCCCGAGGATTGCCCCGAGCCGTGGCCCAGCTCCCCACTGGAGCCCAACTCACCCGCTGATTCTTTCGGAGTCGTTTGCCCCTGTCAGACAGGTCCCTCTGATGGAACCACTGCAGAATGGTCTCCTCGGCCAGGATGTCCAGCTCATAGAACGTCATCAGCACCTGTGGAGGGCCACAGGATGGTGGCGAGCTCAGTGGCCCCAGCCTCACCCTGGCTCACGTGGAGGCTTGTTTGGTCCCTGGCCACCTTTCCAGCCTTCCTCCACAGTCCCCCATCCGCAGGCCGCTTCCACCCACCTCCACCTCTTCCAAACGCAGCTCCCCTCAAGACCCACTTCCGAGATCCTCCCAAGGTGGGAGGCCCCCCTGGCCCCTGAAGCTGCTAGTGCCTGTCCCTTCAAAAGGACCTTCCATGTACTCTCTGTGCATCCTGGGTATCGTATCTCTATGTGTGCATGTTGTCTTCCCCGCTCTAGCAGAAGCTTTGGGGCAGAGGCCATTTTCACCTGTCCTTATGTTCCAGCTAGAGCAGCGCCTGGCACTCTGCTCGGCCCTTCCCACTGTCCCAACTGTGGTCTAAGCAAACAGTGGCAGGCAGACCTCCAGCTGGCTCGGGACAGCTCTCCAGCTGAGGGAAGGAAGCAGGGGTCCCCTCTCCAGGCTCACCCCGCTGACCTAACAATATTCCCTGCTGCAAAGTCCATGTGTATTCTCGAGATGTGTGTGTGTGACACAGACAAGGGGGCCTCCCAAGGCCTCCTTCCCTCAAGGTGGGCCCTGCCCCGCCCAGGGCTCCAAACCACCTTGGCTAGGGAGGTGACCAGGCTTTCGTGTTCCAGGAAGAAGTCCTCAATAGCTGTCAGGGCCTGCAGGTGGTCTCCTGTGCGCTTGATGTAGTTCTTGAACACAGGGCTCCAGGCCCGTAGCAGCTGGGGAGGAAGGCGCGTCACGTCAGGGAGGATCGGCCCAGCGCGGCGGCGCAGGGCGGCAGCCCAGTGGCTTTCCCCTGCCCGTGACCCGTACGCTGGCTTGCCTTGGGGAATCCTACCGAATGGGGATCCCTTCCAGTTCCCTCCTCTTCATTCTGGAGCTTCTGTTGGCCCCCTTGAAGCCATTCACCCCCTGAGGACTCTCCACTACTTGTGCCCTCCCCCCATCCATAGCCTAGGCTGGTAAGGACTTCCAGCCTCTTCCCAACCCAACACTCCTCCTCTGTGCCGCTCTGGCTTAGCCGAGAGGACCCGTCACCTCTGAGGCCACCCAAATAAGCCTCAGGAGGTGAGGGCAGGCCAGGAGAAGGGGCTCTGCTCACAGGTAGGAGGAGGCCACAGTAGCAGCTGGGGTCCAGCTGGGAGTTGAGCTGCTCCAGGGGGAACTCCAGGACAACTTGACTGAGCACCTGCATCACCTCCTTGAGGCTGATGTTGTAAGCGTACCTGCCAGGGGACAGCAAGCAGGGCTCTGTCAGACCCCCCAGAAATGACAGGGCCTCAGGCGGGTGAGGCCTAGGAAGTTGAGCAGAGCTACCTCCTCTGCCCACCAAGCGCCGCCTTTTCCCGCCTGGGTCCAGTGGTTCTCTGGCCCTCTGACCCAGGATGCTGAGAGGAGAGGGGACCTTCTGAGGACTCTGCTCCCTGGGGCGGGGCCGCTCCCGGCTGCCTTCCCACGCCTCCCACGTGACCTCCCTGTGTGTGTTCTGGGGGGAGCACCGCTTGGCTGCCCAGGCTGTCGTCCCTCGGGCCTGCCCTCTGCCTCCTGGCCCCCTCACAGCTAGAGCTTGGCCAACCCTAACCCTCCTCAAACAACCTCACGACCCCTCTGCTTCCATGTTCTCCCCCTAGAAGCCTCTATGGCCTCCGAGGCCCTTCCAGCCCCAGGCCCAGGACTCTCCCAGAGCCCTCAAGGGGCGCTTTTCAGGTTTGGTTTTGTATCCCAGCAGAGGCTTAATAAAGGCTTGTTGAGGGGGCAGCCAGGTGGCACAGTGGATAGAGCACCGGCCCTTGAGTCAGGAGGATCCGAGTTCAAATCAGGCCTCAGACACAATACTTACTAGCTGTGTGACCCTGGGCGAGTCACTTAACCCCAATTGCCTCACAAAAAAAAAATAAATAAAAATAAAGACTTGTCGAACTCAACCATTGCAATGCCGTGCCGGAAGCAGCACATCCTCAGGCTGCCTGGGACCGACGATGCCAGCATGGCTTCTAGATACCGCACCGATTCCACCCTAACCTAGAACCTCTTCATGTCCCCGGCTCCTGAGGCAGTGCCTGGTACATTCTGGGCACGAATGAGGCCTAGGGCTTTCCTCCCTTACTGCCCAATGTCCCACGGCCAGGGGTGTTGAGTGCCAGGCTGGCTCTCGCCGCTGGGCCTCCCTGCCTCCACGTCACATGTTCCATCAGTGACTCAGTTTGCTCAAGCTACCTCCCCCAGAGCCCCGAGTCCTTGTGTGGTCCCTGCCCTCTTCTTACTTCAGGGAATTGATTTCCAGGACCAGGTTGTCACAGGAGATATTCTCCTCTTGGCCCCGCTGCAGCGTTCCCGCCACTTCATTCTGAAACACTGAAACCGAAGACAAGGACTAAGCCATGGCCCCAGGCTTTCCATACGCCACGCACAAAGTCTGTCCCTCAGCCCCTGTGACAGTCCAAAAGGGCAGGGAAGACAGGGGAGGGACAGAATCATGAGATGTCCCAGAGGGGAACCTGACCCCAAAATCTGCCTAGAGAAGGAAGGAGGGTAACAAGGCTCTCCTGGGGGCAGCTGGGTCTGGCCCACCATTTTCAGGGAGGTTGTCACTGAAGTGAATGAGATTGCCAAGGGAGAGCACAGAGAAAGGGAGCCAGGAGACCCCTCAGGGAACCGTATGGGAGGATGCTGAGGGTTCTGGGAAGGACACAAGGAAGTGTCTAGGAGGCCCAGAAGACAGAGAGGGCTGACACGGTGGCCAGATTTTCAAGAAGCAGAATAGGTAAAGGAAGGAGACGGTGACAGGAAGGGTCCTGGAAGGAGGGAGACCAAGTATTTCCTCAACAAAGGCAGGGTATGAAGACACAGGGGAGGGGCGGCTGCTGCAACAAGGTTCTAGAGGAGGCCAGATGGAGAACAGAGTGGACAGGGAGGCCGCTTCTGGAACTGGAAGGATGGAGAAAGGAGTGCCAGACCCCTCTGCCCAGGAGCCAAAGAAATGGAAGGGGCTGAGGAGTTCCAGTCATCTGCTCTAAATGGAGGGTGGGGAGCGGCCAGGGCCAGATGCATGGCAACTGGAGCACGAGGCAGCCAGAGGCCCAGTCGAGGCTGGGAACCTCAGCAGAAGGCGAAGGGGCTCACTGGCGGTTTTCTCTGCTGACTCTCAAGCCCTGCAGGGGGAATGGAGAATTCTGATGGGAGTGGGGGATTCTACCGGGCCAGCAGCTGCCCAGCCAGTCATGGTAGAGCCTGAGCGCAGGGGGCCTCACAGGCCGAGGACTGCCTTGGACCTGAAGCACTTGCGAGGCCTCATGAAGATCAAGAGAGGAGGACAAGAGGTCAGAGCTGGAGAAGGCGTAGCTGGAATGCTAACGTGTGACTGCACGTGGGGCTACAAAAAGGCCATTGGAGCCCGGACCTCAGGCTTTAAGAGGGAGACTGTGGAGCTTTTCTCCTGTGGGAGATGGCGAGGGCAGCAAAGAGAAGGAGCCACGGGCAAGTGACCGGTGCCTTGAGAAAGGGGGCTGCTAGCAGCCGGCGGCCAGGTTGGGGAGAAGGCCTACACAGCCTGTCTGGGCCTCCAAAAGATGAGAATGCAGACAAGCACGGAGGACCACGCAGTGTGGACGGAGCGGCGACGGACGTCCCTCTTGCCGGGGGAATGGCTCCAAAGGCTGTAGAGGAGCCTTTGGAGGCTTCTGGGCTCAGCCTAAATCAAGGAGGTCACAGGACTGGCTGCAAAGTTCCAGAACAGGGATGATGATCTGGCTGGCGCCACCGAGGGGTTCTAGACTGTGCCAGGAGGCACAGACTGCACAGCAGAAGGGCTAATGAGGACAGGGAGAAGGGCAGGGAGGGCAGCAGCAGCTGCTCGTACACGGGTCAAGGCCAGCGAAATGTGCAGAAGGCGGACCAGTGACCACCACTGGGCCATCTTGCTCTGCTGCTGGTCCTCCCACCTCCTCAGGCCCCTCTGCCCCGTCCTGTACCTGTGATGGCAGGGCAGGGTCCCGGCTCCAGGACCTCCATCCTTACGTGGACGGCTCAGCTCAGCTTTCTCCCACTTCCCGCCAGCTCTATGGCTTTGGGACTTCCCAGACCTTCCCATCAGGGCGCCTCCCCTTTTCTGCTTCCTCATGTGTGGCTTTCCCCCCTTTGACTATAAGCTCCTTGAGGGCAGGGACTGTCTGTTTGGCTTTGTATTTGTAGCCCGGTGCCTGGCACAGAGCAACTGTTTGTTGACTGACTGGCCAATGGAGCCATCTCTCCCAGCAAAGCAGGAGCCAGGCTCAGGCTAGTCCTGGGCCCCAGCCCACCTCCTCACCTTTAATGTCATCCAGCTGAGGGGAGCCTGCCCGGCTGTCCAGCTCCTGGGAGCCCAGACTCTGTTCACTGTCACTTTCGCTCTCTTCATCCATGTTGATTGTGAGTCCTGGAAATGGGGGGCGGGAGGTGTGTGAGAGAAAGAAGTACTGAAGTGGGGGGAGGGAGAGGTCTGGGCCACCCAGCACACAAGAAAGACTCAGGAAAAGCTGGGTTCCAATCCCATCTCTGACCCAGGTGAGTCCTCTGACTGAGCCTCAGTTCACACTCAGGCAGTAATGACCCTGGCAGAGCTCACGTACAAATGTCCCCTGAACGCCAGGCCTCACCCCACAGGCTCTGCCGCAGCTCCTCTTCATCCTCCTCCTCCCTGGGGCTCACGCCCTCCGCTCTCCAGAGGTAGCCCTTGCCCGCCGCACCCACGTCAGCTGGGTTGTAACCTGAAAAAGGCCCTGCTCATCAGTGGGAACGTGGGGCAGCCACACCCTGCAGCCGAGGAGTCACTGCTTGGGAGCTCCCCCACCTGTCGACTTCACTCTCTCTTTTCTGTCCGCTCCAGAGTCGTCGCTGAACTGGCCGTCATCATCCTCTTCCTCCTCATCAGGAGGATGCAGTGAGATGACAGAGCCCTCAGGCAGCTCGAGGTCTGGGCCCACCACCACCTAGACAGGAGAGCTGGGTCAGGCCCAAGCCCATGGGCTGAGGGTCTGGGCCAGGGCCGGGAAAGCTGTGGCCAACAAGGTCCTCAGGTGAGGCCTTTGAATCCGGACTTCACAGAACAAAGAAGTGTGGATTCAGTCAAAGGGCCACACCTGAGGACCTCGAGACCACAGCTCCCCACCCCTGGCCTGGTGTGGGCTACTCAGAAGTAGGTCATGTCCCCCCACAGATTTGGAGCAGACTGGGCACACATCTGACTGGGTCTGGGGGTAAGGAAAACACTTTCAGGATAGCTTGGCCACTCCCCAATCGAGGCAGGGAATGGGACCTCACCTGGGAAGTAAGGACGCAGCGGGGCTTCAGAGTGACCCGTTCCTTGACCTCGGAATGATCGCACAGGAGAGACTGACGAATCTGTGCCCCACTGGCCACCCGAACACCTTGCCATAGATAGGCCTGGTCCAGTAAGACGTTGTCACCTGGCTCAGAATTGGAAGGACTTCTGGTCACATGAAGGTCTCATTCTAAACCAGAATTCCTCCTCACAAATGGCAAGGTGAGGGAGGGAGCCAACCAACTCCTATCTGGCCCTCACCACCCTTCCAACTCATTCCAACTCAAAAGTAGTCAAGTGGCCAAAACACCCTCCTTCCCTCACACCAGACCGTACCAGTTCAACTTTCTCTCCCACCCTCAACTTCCCTGTCCCGTCAGATACGAAGAATTCAAATTCTTAGACAAATAGGCCCCATCTGAGACTGTGGACGAAAAGCTCCCTAAGTGCAAACACCAGATCCTCACTGGACAGAGGCCCACGAAATGTAAGTAGAGAAGAGCCGAGGGACAGCCAAGTCTACATTTCCCGTGCAGGCCCTCCTTAATGCCCCCTTGAGTTGGAGGTGGAAACATGGCAGCTCCCAAAGGTTATGTGACAGGTAAGGCCCAGCAAGCTGGAGGGCCTGGCAGGAGGACAGCGCCCCTGACAGACTCTATCCCTGCCACCTGAGGACCCCAAGAGCAAATGAATTAGAGCTGGAAGGAATCTCAGAGATGATGATCTAAGATAATGTCTTTGTTTTACAGATGGGGAAACTGAGGCCCAGCAAAGACAAGCAACTTAACCTCCATCCCAAAGGTGGCAGGTAACTCAAGGCAGGTCCTCTTTCCCCTAGATGGTACTGTCTAGGCCCCTAAGGGGTACTGAGCCCAAGTCTCACACAAGCCAAAGGAATGGCCACAGGGATGACGTCACTGTGCTTGTTAGGGGCACTCTGACATGTTCACACCAGGGCACACCCTCTAATTCTGCCATGCTGATGACCTGCCAGGCAATGACGGTGAGAGGGCAAGGTCCCCGGGAGTCTGGAGGGCCACAGGAGCCACGGTTTGCCCCGCCCTCCCGGGGCTGCACGCCACGCTCACCAATGTGGCAGTCGGGGCCGAGGACGCTGTTCCTGATGGTGCAGTTGCTGCCGATGACTGTCCCGGCGCCCAAGAGCACGTTCTCCTCCAGGACACTGCCGTGGCCCAGGCTCACCTCAGGCCCCCGGTAGATGTTGTGTCGGGAGTGAGTGCAGCTGTGGGCCGGGCTGTTGGTGAAGTTCATCTCCGGGGTGAGGGGATAGACCCAGCGGCGAACAACGTCAGCACACACTGCCTCATACATGCGCAGGTTGGAAACACGAGCTCCGTACTCCCGGGTGGTGACATGCATGTGAATGTGGTTTCCCAGGACCTAGGTGACCAGTCGGGCGACCAGCATCAGTCAGAGAGCAGCCCAGGTGCCCCCCAAAGGCCCACGATCCGTCCTGTCGCCTCCACCCCTCTTCGCTGTTCCCTCTCTCCCCAAGAGTGGCCACGAACAGTCGCCCTTTCCCCCCTTTACCTCCTCATTCACCAGCAGGCCTCGCACAAAGTCATCCCGGGTCTGGTAGTCAAAGTTGTCGGTGAAGAGTTCGGCCACCTGTCAGGGAGGAGGGTCGGGAGAGGCACTGCTCACTTACCTAAGCTGGTGCTACGGGAGCGGCCCGCAGCTGCCCTCAGACACCACAAGAGCTGGAGAAGGCTCAGGGGAAGCCCCTGGGGCCGCCCGAGGAGCGGACGAGCAGAGAGGGCTCACCTGAGGGGAACAGATGCTGATGTGACAGTCCAACAAGTCGTACCGAATGTCTACTCCTTCCCCACTCCCCTGGAACAGGTTCTGTGGGGGCAAGCAGCAGGAAGGGGTCTCGTGCCTGCTCCCTCCAGCCAAGGCAGGCTGACAGGCCGGCACGCTTGCCCCGCCCGGCGTCCCCCGCTTCCCACTCCGGGGAACTGAGAGGGCCACACACCAGGGGAAAAGAGAAGCGCCGGAGCCCATGAGTCTTCTGGTAGTGAAGAAGCCGGTGGGTGGCGCTGTCCATGGCCACCACAATGTTGTCCTCAGGGCACCGGGTGGGGTGGCTGGGGGAGGACTCCTTGAAGATCATGGTCATCACTGACACATTTTTCTCCCGCTTCCTCCGCAATCTGCAGAAATGAGGGGAGAAGGCTGCAGACACGCAGTCCCGAGCCCTGCCCCCGGGCATGCCCTCCTCAGCCAGTCTCCTGCTCACACCTGTGCTCCTCCAGGGCGTGGGCGATGTTAATGTTAGAGATGACATCCCCATAGACGAGCAGGAAGTCAGAGCGCACCAAAGCCTTGGCGTCCACGTCCCGGAGCACGTCCCCCAGGGAGCGGTACGTCTCTGAGGTCACGATGCGAACCACATTGGGTGAAGTTGGCAGGCACCACTTAGATTTCCTACGAAGAAGGGAAGAGAATGAGATCAGTGGCAAAGATGACCTGCATCTTTGTGCTCCTTCTCATCCCATGCAATGACGATCCAATCCCATGGACATTTATTAACTGATTACTGTCTGCATGACATGAAACACAATCTAGTCCCTGCCCAAGGGAACTCAAGAGTCCAGTGAGGGCAGTGGGGATGGGGAATAACAAAGAAGCCATCATGGAGGATGGGCTGAAGACAAAAAAGGAGATCCAAAATACCCTAAGAAAATCTGAGGAGGGAGAGAACGATCAGGGCTGAGCACAGAGAAAGCTCGTGGAAGATGAGGCGCCTAAGTCCGGCCACGAAGAAAGGAAGGATTCCAGAGCCTATGTCAAAGGAGAACGTTTCAGGCAGGAGTGGAGGCCTGGGCAAACGTGTGGAGGTGGGAGAGGACAGAGAAACACTAAGTAGTAGACTCTGGCTGGAAAACAGACTGAAGGAAGGGAATAGGAGGGGTGGGAAAGGATAAATGTTACCCTTTAAACAGAGAATCACTTAAGGCCCTGGAGCAGGGAGATGCCATGGCCAGACCCATGACACCTGGACTGGAGGAAGAGCAGTGAGGAGGCTGGGACAGTAGCAGGTAAGAGGTGAAGGCTGCCCAATCAAGGAGGGGGCAGGAGAGGACGACCTGAAGCTGGCATTGGCCAAATATGGGCCCCAGAATGGTAGATGTGGCAAGAAAGTGAGTGTTTTCTTCCCTACTAGGACACCTTTATCAACGACTTAAAGTCACAGGTGGCTGAGTCATCAAACGTGTAGAAGTCACAAAGCCAGGAGAGGGGAAAGCTCTCGTGGTGGAGGCCAGAGGCTGAATCCCCAAAGAGGCTGGCTGGCAAGAGTGTTGGGTCACATCGAATGATTCAAACTGAACAGAGATAGTCCCATCCAAGAAGAAGAAGCGTAGGTGACAATACTTGTGGGTTACTCAGGCTGTAAGAAGTGTGATACGGTGACCCAGGGGGACGAGCCACCCAAAGCTCTGCTTCGAGCACAGCCTCGGCTCACAGCAGACCACCGCTGGCTGTGGGGGGTCAGTTGGGGGCCCATGCCTAGGAAGAACACCGAGAAGCTGGAGAGGGGGTGAGAAGCAGCTGAAGGCACCAGGGACGGTTCACTAAGAGCAGCCCAAGGTGGGGGATCACGTGAAGGAGGGAGACGTCTGTGTCTGAATCCCGGCCTGGCTACCTGTCACCTCGGGCACGTCACTGAGCTCCTCTGGGCCTCATTTCCTCTTCTCCAATGTGGGGGCTCTTACACTCGAAATCACAGGCGACCTGGCAAGCTTTCAGCCAGCCCGGTGACTGAGAGGAGCCAAAGCCCTTCTCGGTGGTGTTCCCAGCTCCCACCCACTTGGTAGACCTCCTCAACTTCAAAGAATTCTGCAGACTCTAATTATGACTTCCAGCTTCCTGGGTGCCACCAACCTTCTTTTACGGGCTGCCCTGCGTACCATGGCCCCTGAGGCCACAGGGCACGGAGAGGAGGCTAAGCAATCTCTCAGCCAAACGCAGGGGCCCACGCTACAGGCAGCACGTGACACCGTGCGGAAAGCATGGGGCTGGAGTTCAGAGATCCCATCTCTAATATTAGTTGTGTGACTTCTCTGAATCTCAGTCTCTTCATCTGTTAAATGAGGATAACAACCCTTGAGGACTCAGTGTCACAGGGTGCTATGTGTATGTACACACATATATAGCTTTCTCCTCTCTAAGCATCCAGGGACCTGCCCTTTCCCAAGGGACAAGAGAGGCAAGGAGGTTGGCAGACCAGAGCTCCCTCCTGAGCCTCTGGGGCTCAGCTGCCCTGGGGAGAAGGGGCCACCGGGTATCCTCAGGCATCCTAAGGGGACAAGAATGGACGGCCCTTCCCCTCACACCCTGTAGCTGTCCCACTCAGGAGCTGCAAGGGAAAGGGAAGGCTGCAGTGACCGGGACAGAGAAGGGCCAGGGCCTTACTGTATGTGCTCTTTGATTTCAGGGGCCTTCCAGCAGCAGAAGACAAACGTTTCCTGCACCCCCGTGGCAGTCAGAAACTCCAGGGTGTAGTCAATCAAGGCCACGTTGGCCAAGGGCAGCAGGGCCTGGGGAGTGAAGAAGACAAAGCCTTAGTTGGTGAGTGGCCTGTGAATGCCAGTGTCCTCTCCTCAGCTTTCACTAAGGCTTCCAGCCCCCTGAAAAGGCCCCAAGCTGGATGCTAGCTTCCTATGGGGAGATGGAGGCCAGAACAAAGCAGCTGCTTGTTCAGAAGCATCTGGGACGCCCCCTCTCCATTGTGTGTCCACAAACCACCTCTCCCGAAACTCTGCAAACCAACTCCTGAGTGAGCAAGCAGGGAAGTCTGGACCGAACTGTGTTCCAACGTGCCTTCCAGGCCAGACGGCCAGCCACCTCGGGGCAGTGGGGGGAAGGGGGAACCCATCCTCCCCTGCTCTTCTTCCGTGATCTTTTAGACAAAAGCAGAGCCCAGAGGCGCAGGCTTGTCGAGCCTCCTTCCTTATCCTCGAATGCCAGGAACAACCCCAATAGTCCAGGTGGTGCAGTGGGCGGAGATGGCCTTGGATCCAGGAAGTCATTCCTGAGTTCATGCCTGGCCTCTGCCCAAGATGGCAGCCAAAGTGAGTCAGGTGGTCAGCCAAAGAGCCAGAGGGAGCTCCCACCCCAAGGATCTCCCCAGTCACGTGAAAAGATTGTGGACCTGGGCATTCCTGGATTCCAGTGCAAATCCCAGCCTCGCACCTGACTTACAAGCCACTTGGCCCTGCTCAGCACTGCACGGTGCTGGGACTCAGTCTCCTCATCCACAAAAGGAGGGGGCTGTTCACCTCCTCTCCACCTCTCCATGATCCATCATCACAGGTCCAGACCAAAACAGACCAAAACAAACCCACCAGATGCTGTGAAGGACAACACAGGAGCCAGCAGGACCCATGAGAGCTGGGGCAGGGGCCTGCGGTCACCTGCTTCTGGTCTAACAGCTCTCTGTGGGTACTACGGGCCAACCAGCCCCGAGCCCTGGCCCCAGCACATTTCCCAACTGTCCAGCAGAAGGACTGAGGGAGTCAGCAATGAGCCTTTAACAGAGGGCTCTGGTAGCTGGGCCTCAGAACCCCCTTACCAATGGGAACAAACAATTTCTGCATGAATTTAGAATTATAACCATTTCTCCTGCAGCAGAGACTTTGTTTTCCTTCACCTTACAGGCCTCAGGCCGCAGGTTCCCCATTCCTGGAAAAGTTTCCCCATGCTGATGAATAGAGAAGCATGAATACATTTATAAAAACATACCCAATGACCTCAACAATAAAAATGGAAAGAGTTTTGAAATGATGATAACCAAGCCTGGCCCTGAGTTAGAGACAGAGGACACCCCTCCTTCTCCTGCCACCATGGGGAGGAACACTGAATACAACAGCAGACTTTTTCCATACACGAGCTGGTGTTGCTGAACTTTTTATTACATAAGGGATGGCTCTGACAAGGGACAGATACAGCCGGACACGTGCATAATAGAAAGAAAGGCAACAACTGACATTTATTTTACAAAGCTTCTTTTTGGAAGCTGGTAAAAGCCACTGGGCCTTGTTCCTCCTGGGGCCCTGAAAGCTCGGCTGCTAGCTCCTGATGGGATTCCTCCCTCTTTCATCCTTGGGGGTTCCAGACTAGGTTCCCCACGCTAGACATACATTCATGGTGGGCCGCTAGGACCCCCGGTTTTCTCATCTGTAGAACAATTTGTGACCCCCTCCACGGTCCTGCTTTGTAAACTGCTCAGCACCATAAAACGGTGAACCTTCCTTATCCTCCTTCATCTTTGTGCTAGAAGCCCAGCTTCCCTGTTTGGGGTGGGGGGAGAAGAGAGCCAAGGGCTGTCTTCAGATCGTTCCAAATCTCTCCTACCCCGAGAGTTTCCAAGTCCTTCCCAAGGCGGGAGGTCCTTCAGGTAAGGGAATCAGTCCCTTGGTCCCTAGCCCCCTGTCTCTCTCCCTGAGAATCAGACATCAATATAAAGTCCCTGGGTAAGGCTCAGCCTAGGAGGGGTACAAGGGCAGTGAGCACCAGCTCACGGGAAGAGCAGTATGCAGATCTGGTTACCCTGTGGTCTAGCTGAGCCCCTTCTGGGAATGTGTATGGATGGTGTCTGTGGATACAGTATGGAGGAGGTAAAAGTCCTGCTTGCCCCTAAGTCCTTCCCTGGCCAGGGCAGCTCATGAATATATGTCAGTAGATACCATATGGAACTAGCAGGAGCATTCCCCCTCCCCTTTCACCTGACTCTGAGTGCCCCCTTAAATCTCTGGGGGTTCTGCAGGAGGGGGCCACCCCTCTCTGCTCCTTGGGATCCTCTTCCCCACTGCCTGGGGAGGGGGCTCTCCTCCCTCCCCGCACACTCTCCTAGGTCTCCCTTCCCTACGTGCCCCCGCCTCCCCCTTTAAGATTCCCTGGTCTCTCACCAATGCATTCCACAAGTCCCCTGCTACCACCTCTCCAGGTTTTCCTCACTGTATTCTCTGCTCCCCAGGTTCCTCCCAGCTGTATGCCCCCCCC